TGGGGAACACAAACCAACGCGCCGCCTAATGCCTGTGCCTGCGAGCCAGGTGGCTGAGTAATCGTCACGCCCAAGTTCACCACGGGTGATGAAAGTTCGGCAGGTCGCGACCTTCACGCTGGCCATCAAGTGATTAGCGCACAAGCGAGCAACTATCCCCAACAAGGGGTAGCCGCTGACTGTCATAATTATGGTGCAGCATAGCGACTGCAATTCCCTGTGTATGAATTACCCGTTTCTGTTGTTGTCTCTAAAACATCAGACGAATAAAATTCTCGTTCCAGTGATCACATCAGCTTCTTCTAACATACTTCTAACATACTCGCATTTTTTGCTTGATTTGGCAATAATCTAGTTCTTCATGGTTTCAATAACTTCCGAACAAGACTTCTTGTGAATTATGGACTATTTATATATCTTTCGAATCATTGATTTCGATTTTGCAGGCTCCAGCTTTACTTATCGTCGTTGCTTAAATAGTATTATTAAGAATAAATTGTTTTAAATGGCCGTGCTTCAACATCCCATGGTGAAATGTTTCTGAATTAAATGCTTGTTCATTAGGTAGCAAATTTTTACAGTTAAACTTCTCCGGATGCATTGAGAATAAAAGTAGTTGCGACTATATTTATAAACATATGGCGGTCTTATATCAATGGATCATACAAAACAGGAATTGAAGATCGAGCAACACCCATGATGTGTCCGGATTTTATTTTGCGTTGTTCTTTACTGAAGATGTTTACGTTTTCAAATCTCCACGGCCAAACTTACACTTAAAGTACTTTTAAAATGTCATTTTACAAATCATCACGATTATTATATTGCAAATTAATACTTATGTTTTTTAAGTTCAATTCGTTTGCGTTTCAGAAAGTGTGATGGACAAGCATAACAATACCTTCTGTGAGAAATGTCGACAAGTGAATGGAGTCTGTTTCTGGCAGGATACTTCGCCCAGCGCGAACGCTAATGAAAGCGCCGAAGAAGTGCCGGAGACTTGGATGCCATCCTGGCGCTCTTTTAAACGAGAGTTGAGCAGGTACTTTAAAAGCTATGTACTGCATTTGACAAAATATATTTCCAATTGCTGCCGAGTAGACCACTGTGTTAAAACGCTATACCGGATAAAGAAAGCAGTTTAAAAAGAGAAGACGCGCTGGCCGTTTGAAGAAATGTATCGGTCTGACGTTTCAGATTCTCCCTCGAAACAATCAAGGCGAAAAGGGCAGGAGTTGTGAAGCATTTGTAATCCACACTAGTTACGCGACCTCATGTGTTATACAATTGCCGGCTCTCGTGATTGTCCATGGAGGTCGTGACTGATG